TACTTGGGAGGCTGAGGCAGGAGAATCGCTTGAACCTGGGAGGCAGAGGTTGCAGTGAGCTGAGATCATACCACTGCACTCCAGCCTGGGCAGCAAAGCAAGACTCCATCTGAAAAAAAAAAAAAAAAAGAAATTATGTTCACTTCCAATAGGACAATTTTGTTTTTTCTCAGAAATAATAAAATGAGCCAGGCATGGTGGCTTGAAAGTGTAGTCCCAGCTACTTTAGGGGTTGAGACGGGAGGATCACTTGAGTCTAGGAGTCCAAGACCAGCCTGGGCAACATAGTGAGACTCTGTCGTTATGAAACATTAAAAAATTAGCCCAGTGCTGGCCAGGCACGGTGACTCACACCTGTAATACCAGCATTTTGGGAGGCTGAGGCAAGTGGATCACAAGGTCAGGAGTTCAAGACCAGCCTGGCCAAGATGGTGAAACCCCATCTCTACTAAAAATACAAAAAATTAACCGGGCATGGTGGCAGGCGCCTGTAATCCCAGCTACTTGGGAGGCTGAGGCAGAGAATTGCTTGAACTCAGGAGACAGAGGTTGCAGTGAGCTGAGATCATGCCACTGCACTCCAGCCTGGGCGACAGAGCAAGACTCTGTCTCAAAAAAAAAAAAAAAAAAAAAATTAGCCAAGTGCTTTGGGAGGCCGAGGCAGGTGGATCACCTGAGGTCAGGAGTTCAAGACCAGCCTGACCAACACGGCAAAACCCTGTCTCTACTAAAAATACAAAAATTAGCCAGTCATAGTGGCCCATGTCTGTAATCCCAGCTACTCAGGAGGCTGAGGCAGGAGAATTGCTTGAACCTAGGAGGCGGAGGTTGCAGTGAGCCAAGATCATACCATTGCACTCCAGCCTGGGCGACAAGAGTAAAACTCTATCTCAACAATAACAACAACAAAAATTAGGCAGGTGCACTGGTGTGCACCTGTGGTCCCACCTATTGGGGGGCTGAGGCAGGAGGATCACTTGAGCCCAGGAAGTTGAGGCTGCAGTGAGCTATGATCATACCACTGCACTCCAGCCTGGGAGGAGCCAGACTGTCACTAAAATATATACACACACACACACATATACATACATATACACACATACATATACACACACATACGTATATACATGTGTATATATAATAAATTTTAAAGTGACTGTGTACCCTGCTGTCCCCTCCTGCTTCCATATTCCCCATCCATTCCTATCTATTCCTGGACCCACCCACCTCTGCCAAATGTGAGTTTTCTGAGCAAGCCACATCAGAGCAGATCCAACATTTTCTATGGCCATGTGGAACAACTGGGAGGGAAATGAGCCTTGGCAAGGGTTTGGTGTGTGCCTGGGCCTATCGCACTGCTGTCTGCGTGTGAATTTAGTTACACTGACAGCAAGGGGCTCTTACCCTGGTATTAGTCAGCTATTGCTACATAACAGGTTATCCCAAAACTTAGTGACTTAAAACAACAAACATTTATCATCCCACAGTTTCTGAGTGTCAGGCATCTAGAAGCAACTGAGCTGGATGGTTGTGGCTTAGGAGCTCCCATGAGATTGCAGTCAAGGTGTTGGCTGGGGCGGTATCATCTGAAGGCTGGACTGGGGCTGGAGGAGCCACTCACAAACTGGCTCCCTCTACTGGCTGTTGGCTGTCGGCCTCAGTTCCTCACTGTGTGGGGAGCTGCTTGAGCATTCTCACAACATGGTGGCTGCCTACCCCAGAGCATGTGACCCAAGAGTGAGAGCAAGGAGGAAGCCTTGTGCTTTTACTTCCTAGTCGCAGAAGTTAATATGTCGTCACTTCTGTCATATTTCATTAGAGCCAGCCCCTGCTCAAGGGGAGAGGAGTCACCTCTACCCCTTAAAAGGAGGAGCATCAGAGTTTGTGGACGTATTTTTAAACTGTCAGAATTGCCATTTTCCAAAGGGCAAATACGACAAGGTCACAGCACTGGGAAGCAGCCAGGCGGGATTCACTCCCAGCCCTGCCTGGCTCCTCAGGGGCCTGTGGCTGCCAGACTTGCCTCCCTCAGCCTCAGTTTCCTTTTCTGTAAAATAGGGGTTGTGAGGATTAAATGAGATGGCATATGGAAACATCTTAGCCCAGGGCCCAGTGTACAGTAGGTGCTTAGTTTGTCTTTTACAATTTTTCCTTTTTATTATTGTTTTTGAGATGGAGTCTCACTGTCACCCAGGTTGGGGTGCATCAGTGCAATCTCGGCTCACTGCAACCTCTGCCTCCCGGGTTCAAGCGATTCTGCTGCCTCAGCCTCCCAAGTAGCTGGGATTACAGGCACATGCCACTACGCCCAACTAATTTTTGTATTTTTAATAGAGATGGGGTTTCATCATGTTGGCCAGACTGGTCTCGAACTCCTGACCTCGTGATCCGCCCACCTCTGCCTCCCAAAGTGCTGGGATTACAGGCGTGACCAATAACACCCAGCCTGTATTTTTAGTAGAGATGGGGTTTCACCATGTTGGCCAGGCTGGTCTCGAACTCCTGACCTCAGGTGATCCGCCCCTGCCCCCCCAAATGCTGGGATTACAGACATGAGCCACCGCGCCTGGCCAAATTTTTCTTTATTATTCTTACTGAAAGATGGCACCAGGCCGGAAATCCAGGCCACCTGAGTCCAGAGCCAGCCTCTTTCCACCCCACCCTGTCCAGGGGCTCAGATCCTGGCTCCACCACTGCTCAGCCCCATGTGGTCACTTTCCCTCCCCAGACCTGAGTGTTCTCACCTGTGAAATGGACACAGAGCTCTGGGCGTGGGCAGGGGGTTCCCTGAGCAGGATGGCAACATGGGGGTAGGGGATTCCTCCCTTGGCCCGTGGTGGCCCCCGAGGCCGGGCAGGATTTGCCCCGGGGTGTGATCCCCATGCACTCAGCCCCACCGCCCTGCCCTCACCAGGTGCTGGAGAACCGGACCAAGGACTCCAAGCTGGAGATGGAGGTGCTGGAGAACCTCCAGGAGCTGAAAGACCTGAACCAGCGGCAGGCACACGTGGACTTTGAGGCCATGCTGCGGCAGCACCGCCTGTCCGAGGAGGAGCGGCGGAGGCAGGAGCAGGAAGAGGACGAGCAGGAGACCGCGTGAGTCCGGCCGGTCCAACCCAGCCCCACCTCGCAGCCTCTGCACTGGCAGGCGCTGCCTCTGCCCCAAACGCTTCCCCCGCTCTCTGCAGTGTCGCCTTTTCAGGGACCCCTTTCCCACCGCCAATCTCACTTTCTCCCTTGCGGCGTCTGTCTCGGGGGTCCCCAGCCCACTGCCAGGCATGGTGACTCAGCACGTGGTCACCCGCATGACTGCGGTTTGTCACAGTGAGAGGACACAGCAGATTCAGCAAAGGGAAAAGGCATTTGGGATGTGTCGGGGGCCAGGCCTTCCACATCCTCTCCTGGTGCAGCTTCGCAGGACGCGCCTCATCCCCCAGCCCGAGCTGGGAGGACTCGAGAGAGGCGCCATCCCCAGGAAAGCTCCTAGAGACCCAGCGTGGGGTTCCTATGGGAGGTCCCACAGGCCCCGCTGCCTGGCCCATGCCGGGATTCCAGACTCGACAGGAAAACAGGGCTCGGGCATAAACCATGGTGTTTGCCGGAACAGCTGAGGCCCCAGAGCCCGTCCCATCCATGAGGGTGGGAGGTCCCCCGCACAGGCTCCCGGACACCCACCAAGGGCCACCCTCACCAGCCACCTTCTGAGGACACAGCCTCAGGCCTCCCGGGTGAACACTTTTCTTTTCTTTGAGACAGGGTGTCGTCGTGTCACCCAGGCTGCAGTGCTGTAGTGCAGCCATAGCTCACTGTAGCCTCCATCTCCCAGGCTCAGGCGTTCCTCCTGCCTCAGCCTCCTGGGTAGCTGGGACCACAGGGGCACATTACCATGCCCGGCTAACTGTTTTTATTTTTGTAGACAGGACCTCGCTATGTTGGCCAGGCTGGTCTTGAACTCCTGGCCTCAAGCGATCTTCCCGCCTCAGCCTCCCAAAGTGCTGGATGACAGGTGTGAGCCCCTGCGGCTGGCTGGTGAATGCCTTTGACGCCGACCACCTCTGAGCCCGCATGCTGATCCCCTCCTTTCCTGGTACCTCGTCTCCCCTCCGTCCTTTAGAATCTGAGCTGTAAGGACAGGGACGTGGTGGCCTCTCCTGCATCCCCAGGGCTTCCAGCAGGTTTGGGTTTATGGTAGGTTCCTCATCAGTGCATAATTGGTGCACAGATCAGCGATGCCGTGCAGAACAGTGTTGGGAGCCTGCATTCATCCCGTACCTTCCGGGCGCCGGGCGCGGCTCTAACCTCACTACCCACACAGCCCTGGGAGTCCGTGTGATTTTCGTCATGGGCAGGAGGGCTGAGGTCCAGGGAGGTCCAGACATGGGCCCCACCAAGATGATCCTCCAGGCTCCATCCAGACAGGCTGGTTCCAGCATCCAGGCGCTTAACCCCACCACTGCCCTCAATGGACATGGAAAAGTTAATGTGAAAATGTAGAAGGGGCCAGGCACGGGGCCTCCTGCCCCCCATCCCGCACTGTGGGAGGCCGAGGTGGACGGATCACCTGAGGTCAGGAGTTTGAGTCCAGCCTGGCCAGCCTGGCCAAGGGCCATCTGTACTAAAAATACAAAAACAAATTAGCTGGGCGTGGTGGTGGATGCCCGTAATCCTAGCTGCTCCGGAGGCTGAGACAGGAGAATTGCCTGAACCCAGGAGGCGGAGGTTACAGTGAGCCAAGGTGGTGCCGCTGAACTCCAGCCTGGGCGACAGAGCAAGCTGGGCATGGAGAGCCTGGGAACCTGGATGTGCCTCTGGCACGGGGAACAGGGCCACCTCCGCGCGCACTCCGCTCTGCTCCTGGCGGCTGGCGAGGGGCCCTGGGTGCCTTGAGACCCGCCTCTTTGGCTCCTCGCTGCAGGCAGGGTCGGGAGCGAAACCACAGAGTAGGGGGCACACAGATTACTCAGTCTTTTTTTTTTTTACACAGCAGGTCTAGGGGGGCCGCGGTGGCCTTCCCGCCTGTACCCCCAGCACTCTTGGAGGCCGACGGCGGGTCGAATCACGAGGTCCAGGAGATCGAGACCCGATCCCTGGCTCAACACGTGAACCGCCCGTCCCCTCTACTAAAATACAAACAAATTAGCGGAGCCGCGGTGGCGGCCGCGCCTGTAGTTCGCCAGCTACGCGGGAGGCGAGGCCGGAGGAATGGCCGTGACCCGGGCAGGCCGGAGCTTGCAGTGAGTCCGAGGTTCGCGCCA